AATCAGAAGAAGAAAGGATAGAGTATTTAATGGTCCTGGGAAAATGGAATCCCTATATAAAGGAGATTGAAATTCTTACATCATATCACATACAAAAATAAACATCAGATCAATTAAAAGCCTAAATGTGAGAGAGAATATTATAAAGCAAGTAGGAGAAACTGTAGAATTCTTTTTTGACCGACTTAAAGGTATGTAAGGATTCCTTTTAGAGCCAGCTACTGAAATCACAAACCATGAAGGGAGAAATTGATGTATTTGACTACATAAAAATTAAAGATTTAATTTTGTTAATTTTTTTTAACAAAGGACACAATGTTCAAAATTAACAGCTGATTGTCAGACCAGGATATTTGTGCCCAAGTGGCATGGCTTAATGGTTGAGTGTCGACCTATGAACCAGGAAGTCATGGTTCATTTCCCAGTGAGGGCAAGGGGCATGCAGGAGGCAGCAGGTCAATGATTCTCTCTCATCATTGATGTTTCTCTCTCTCTTTCGCTCCCTCTGCCTTCCTTCTCTGAAATCAATAAAAAATAAAATTATTGCCCATGGGCCAAATCTGGCCTACTGTTTGTTTGTGTTTTTTTGTTTGTTTTTAAATAACTGGCGAGTTAAAAATGGTTTTTACATTTTAAAATAGTTGAAAAAATTTATTGATAATATTCTGTGACTATAAAGTGACATGAAATTCAAATTTGTGTTTATAAATAATGTTTCATTGCGACACAACCATGTTCATTCATTTACATTTTACAAATGGTTGCTTTCTGGCTCATACTTTTTACAGCCCATTAAAGAAGTATTTATTTACCCAAGGACACAATTTTCCTCAATATTGTCTTCTAGAAATTTTATAGTTTCAGTCATTACATTCATTTCTGTAGTCCATTGATTATAGTTCTGTAATATATTGAGTTAGTTTTAATATAAGATGTGAGGTAGGAATTGAAGTTCACTTTTTCACACATGAATTTCTAATTACTTTTTTATACATGAATTTCCCATTGCTTACAAGACTTTCTTTTTTTTCTCTAATTAATTACCTTGGAACTTTTTTAAAAAAAATCAATGACCATTTAAATATTGGACTATTTTTGGACTCTATTATTTTTCATTGGGATATGTGTTTCTCCTTTGCTAATGCCATATTGATTTGATTACTTGTGTAGCTTTTACAGTAAGTCTTGAAATCAGTTATTGTTTTAGCCTTCTTTTTCAAAATATTTTGCCTATTCTAGGAATTATACTTTTCCATATAAATTTTAGAATTAGCTTGTCAATTTCTTCGAAAAATTATGCTGAGATTTTGTGATGTCATTGAATCAATAGATTGATTTGTAGAGAATCAATATCTTTTTTTCTTTTTTTGTTTTGTTAATTCTCAGCCGAGGTAGATATATATAACTGTATATGTTTTGCAAAATTCACTGATGTGTATTATCTGAAAGGGGTGAATTTTACCATGCATAAATTATACCTAAGAGAAAAACTGACTTTAAAGAAATTAGTTTCACAGTGCTAACCTTAAGTCAGTAGGTATTAAAAGTAGAGCTCTGTGAATGAGCCCTTATCATCTACTTAATCACAAAGCATACTTTCTTTTTCACATAAACCAATAAATTCAAATAGCCATGTCATTGATCTTTAGAGAGTTGAAGGGAAGGGGAGAGACAGAGAGAAACATTGATGTGAGAAAGACATCAATTGATTGTCTCCCACAGGCACCCCGACCCGTATTGAGCCTGCAACCTAGGTATGTGCCCTTGCCCAGAATCGAACCTGGGACCCTTCAGTCCTTGGACCGACACTCTAATCACTGAGCAAAACCAGCTAGGGCCATTTTAATATTCTTTACAATAGAATAAATTGTTCTCTCAATGACTGTAGACATGTAAGCTGTGTGATAGTACGCAGAGACATCACCGTACAGGAGTTCTGATTGGTGCATAGTCTTCAATAATTACAAGGAGTTACTTGAATGAAGCTGTTGTCAAAGCAGTAAGACTGCATTTATGCATCCAGCATTTTCAGGATTGTTGGTAACCTGGGCATATTTTTCTCCAGTAGTCTTGCCTCTTGTTATTACAAGGCCTAACTTGCTCACGAACACCTCGTTGACAGTACCTTTGGTAACAACGCCCAAAGCTGTATAAAGTGGGGATGATGGGTTCTTCTTTACACCAAGTATTGGCTGGCAAAAGGTGGCTTTCAGTTCAGGATGTGTTACATGGTCCTTCTTGAAACGTAAGCCCATTGGCCTAATGAATCTTCCATATTTAGGTGGTTTTTGAGTAAAGCCATCTCCAACAAAGCACTTTAGTAACCATCCTCCTCCACGCCTTTTTCTTTCTCTTTCTTGTTCAAATAACTTTTAATACCTCTGTTTTTCGCTGAGCATGAACTTTGGGCAGAGGGACTTCCCATTTTCCAGCTTTCTCTCTTTGTTTTTGTTTAATCATATTGGAAAGTACTTTAGCTTAGGACTGTCCCTCCCTGTCCAGTAGATAGGCAGGTACTGCTCCTTGGGGAGTCTTTTCATCATTCTTTTGTTTGGTGTTTCTCTTTTTATGCATCTTGATAGTCCTTTTCGTTTGTATTTTCTCAGCATGGCACTGTTTATAGTAGAGCTTAGCCTTCAGACCAGTCATCTTTTTTGCCTTTGGACATTCATGAGCCTCTCGACCTTCCTTCTTTCTCTTCTCATGGTTATCCAAACAATATCCACAGCATTTATGGTGTAACTCAGTATTCTTATTTAGTGACATGTTTTAAATTTCAGCATTTCCATTTGACTCTTACAGTTTCTGCTTTAATACTCCATCTGTTTATGCATTATGTTTTTCTATATGTCTTTCACCTTAAAAATTTTAAAATTTATTGATGAGAGAGAGAGAGAGAGAGAGAGAGAGAGAGAAAGAGAAATGGATTTGTTGTTCTACTTATTTATGCATTCATTGGTTGATGCTTGTATGTACCCTGACCGGAGATTGAACCTGCAGCCTTGGCATATCAAGAGGATGCTCTAATCAGCTGAGCTACCCAGCCAGGGCCTACTTTAACAATTTTAATTATATAAATGTCTGTCTCTGGTAATTTCATCATCCTTGTCATCTCTGAATCTAATTATATTGGTTATTTTATCACTTGGCAATGGGTTTTTGAATCCTTGTTATTTCCCCCAGAGCCTCATGGGTTTGAATTGTGTTTATGCCTTTTATGTCAGACCATTCATGTTGGGGATTAAATCACCAAGCAAGCCAGGAGTTCACATAGGTTTGGATGTTGTTGTTTTAATCATTACCTTCAGTGCACCAGTCTTCAGATTCTGTTAATAGTGGATTACTGTTGCGGTGTGCTTAATTAGGATGGATGCAGGAGCACCAAGAAACCACTAGTCATCTCTTCTACACTCACATATGTGCCCCCCCCTAAAGGATTCTTTGTTAATATGTTCTGCTCCCAATATTACTCATGAGTAACCAGCGGGAGCCTGTGGCAAAGTGCTTGTGAGTGTGAACTCACCCCTAACCATTCCAGATTGTCATGTTAGCCCACACTTGGCCGTTAATAATTTGTTCAAGTTTTAACTGATTTCCTTTTGCCTGCCTACATGGTGGCTACCTCTTACTCCAGTGCCAAAGGTGAAACAGTGTGCCCTTGTTACTCTTTGGAGGGGCTTGTCACTCTTTGGAATTAAACTTATATGTTTGCCTTCTCAACTCTCTGATGGACTCAAGAAAAGTTGTGATTTTGTAGTTTAGCCTTTGGTCATTTTTTAGAATGGGAGTAACAGTATTTATAATTTTGTAAATCCTAAGCGGAACTAATTATAGTTTTAAAACATTTTCAATTTTCCTTATAAAAACAATGGAAGTGAGAGTTATATCACTATTTATTTGTTATTTTTATTGTTAAAATATATATTTTTGTTGATGTCAGTTAGGAAGGGAGAGGGAGAGAGAGATAGAAACATCAATGATGAGAGAGACTCATTGGCTAGCTACCCCTGGGCATGTGCCCTGACTGGAAATTGAACTGTGACTGCCTGGTTCATAGGTCGATGCTCAAGCACTGAGCCACACCAGGAGGGCTATCACTACTTATTTTTAACAGGAGTAAATAATAACTTTCCTAGATATATTTTTTCTTCTTCTTTCATTTTATCTTTAAAACTTGGCCTTTTATTTGCCCCGCCTTATTTTATAGGATCCTAATATTTCACAGTGTTTTTATAGCCAACTAATGTCCAGACGGTTGAACAGATTTAAACAATTAGTGAGAGCACTCATCCAGTGTATTCCCCTCTGTTTGGATTCTTCAGATCACTCCAATTCAGATCTTGTCTGAATGATTTGAATTTCATAGGTTTTGGTTTCACTGTGTAAGTCAAATAAACTGCCTTTATTTTGAAATTAAACTTTGCAAAATAATGTTGTAAATATTTTAGAGTGTCTGGTTGAAAATATATTGCAAATAGTAGGTAGAAATTTTGCAATTATAATAGAAGAAATATCTCCATAGACATATATTGAATTGGGCCTTACATTAATATGTATATCAGAAGGCAGAATTAGTTGCAACACTTACGATATGATGTGCCATATAAGATGTTATTCCATTATCAGAAAATTAAATTTTTATTCTTTTATTCTCACTCTATGGATTTTTTTAAATTTATTTTTTTATTTTTATTGATTTCAGAGAGGAAGGGAGAGGGAGAGAGAGAGAGCTAGAAACATCAGTGAGGAGAGAGAATCATTGATTGGCTGCCTCCTGCATGCCCCCTACTGGGGATCGAGCCCGCAACCTGGGCATGTGCCCTTGAGCAGAATCGAACCTGGGACCTTTCAGTCTGCAGGCCGATGCTCTGTCCACTGAGCAAAACCAGCTAGAGCTCTATGGATTTTTTTTATATGAAATTCTGTCCACCGATTGTAATGATAGTGTTTGTTTTGAGACCATCAGCAAACTAATTTTTCCTCACTTGTTTTCTTTGCAGGAAACTTCATCAGCAGTTCGAAATGTATAAGGAGCAGGTAAAGAAGATGGGAGAGGAATCACAGCAGCAGCAAGAACAGAAGGGCGATGCTCCCACCTGTGGTATCTGCCACAAAACAAAGTTTGCGGATGGATGTGGCCATAACTGTTCATATTGCCAAACCAAGTTCTGTGCTCGTTGCGGAGGTCGAGTGTCTTTACGCTCAAACAAGGTACAGAAATGAAAATCATACGTAATAATTCTCTTACAGTTAAGCTTATTGTGAGCAAGCGCAGAAGACAACTGAAATTAATATTCACATTAGCCAGTGCCTTCATTTTAGTTAAAAAAAACTTAATTTTTTTTGAGTAAAAAATATATTTGCTTCATTTTTTTAATCTCCTTTAGCTTATGATTTGGTTTAAAATCGTAGAATCCTAGACTCTCTAAGATGATTAATAGAATTTAGAGATCTAGTTCCTTTATTTTGCAGGTCCAGAAAACTCAGATCCAGGGAGACTAAAGTTCCTTTTTAAAGTCACAGAACTGACTCTAGCTTTTCCATTGACACACACGTTTATCAAGTTTGCACATATGCTCTTCCTTCTGAGAGGAAGAGGCTGCTTTTAGCTTTGAGGTTCTGTGTTTCATAATTGGAAAGCTTTTCAAGCTACGTTACCTTTTTATTTCTGTCTTAACATTAATGAAATAAACATTAGACTATGGAATTTCAAGAAGAAATGTTAAGGACGTTTTTCACACTTATACTAGATTTTTGGAGTTTATCCATCCACTTTAGAAAAACGTTAATGCTACCCAAAGAATGTTTGTTGAAATCAGCAAAAGCAGTTTTTAAAAAAATACTTGTCTCAGTAAGTTCTTTAGCATTTGCTTTTATCTCCTCACTAGTATCTTATCAATCAGTTCTTTATTTAGATGGCTTTTAAATAGGAAGCTGATATCTTTAATTACATAGATATAATAGTGGTAATTTTGGTCTCCTGTGCGATTTCATTTATCCATTTTCCCATTGCTCCCCCTTTCTCATTGTTTTGTTTTGTTTTCTCATTGTTTTATTTCTGTTAATTTTTCACTGATCTGAAAAATTATACTGATTTACTGATTATATTTCTGTTTTACCGATTTTATTTCTTTTTCTTGACTAGTTGTATGGGCTAGAAATGCCTGTACAATTCTGAATAGAAGTGGTGAGAGCAGACATCCTGCCATTTTTTTTTAAAAAAAATGTGTATCTTTAAAAAAAAAAACTTTATTGTTGAAAGTATTGCAGATGTCTTCCCCCCTGTTGACCTCCTCCACCCCACTCCAGACTCACAGACATTGAAGCATGCAACAGACGTATCCTGTCTTGTTCTTGATCTTAAGGAAAAAGCATTCATTGTCTTTCACTATTAAGAATATGTTAGCATCCTAGCTGGTTTGGCTCAGTGGATAGAGCATTGGCCTGCGGACTGAAGGATCCCAGGTTTGATTCCGGTCAAGGGCACATGCCCGGGTTTTGGGCTCGATCCCCAGTAGGGGGCTTGCAGGAGGCAGCCAATCAATGATTCTCTCTCATCATTGATGTTTCTATCTCTCTCTCCCTCTTCCTTCCTCTCTGAAGTTTTGTATTGCTATGCCTTCAAGCTTTCTAATCTTTTCTCCAGCAATGCCAAATTTTATGTTAGCATGTAGTGTATTTTTCATCTTAGACATTTTAGTTTTTATATCTAGAATTTCAGTGGGGGCTTTTTTATATCTTTCATTATCAACTTAACTTTTTGAAATATAGAATATACTCTCATAATTCTGTTGATGTTCTCCCTTGCTAATTCTAGCATCTCTGTCAGTTTTGCGTTGGTTTTGATTATTTTCATTACATTATGCATTTTCCTGACTCTCTGCATGCTTGATATCTTATGTTGGATGCCAGGCATTGTAAATTTTACTTTGCTGGGTGCTGGATGTTTCTGTGTTACTATAACTCTTCTTTAACTTTGTCTGGGATGCAGTTATGTGGAAACATTTGACACCTTTTGTATTTCTTTTATGATTTGTTAGATGGATATGGAGCAGTTCTCAGTGTAGCACTAATTATTCTCTTCTACTAAGGTAAGGCTTTCATGAGTACTTTAACAAATGCCCCATGAATTATGAGTTTTTCCAGTCTTGCTAGTGGGATCATCCACTGTTCTCTTTAACCCTTTTCGATGATTCCACCCCATTCCCACTGCTAGGTGTTTTCTCACATGCGTGCTCACCGGTCATTACTCAGCTGACTTCTTGAAGGGACCCTCTGTAGATATCTCAAGTGAGTTCTCTCTCAGTGTAGCTTTCTTTTCTCTGGTAACTTGCCCTGTGACATCTCGCTGTATTGCCTTCCTCAGACTCTCAGTTTTAATCCATTCAAGTCAGGATGTCTGCTAAGCTGCCCTCAGTTCCTCTGTCCTGTTCTACCTGAAAAGTCTTTCAAAGTAGTAAGCTGGGACAGTTGTAGAGTTTATCTTGCTTATTTCCCATCTATCACTGTCTTTTGTTGGCTTATATCCAATTAGACCATTCTTTCATGTATTTTGTCTGTGTTTTTTTTTGTTTTGCTGTTGTTTGTTGTAAGCAGGTGGAGAAATCTGGTCCTTGTTACACCATTTAGGTCAGAAGCAGAAATCTCTCATGACATCTGCTTACAGTTTGCTTGAAAATATATTTCTTGATTTCTAACACAGGTCCCTTTATGCTGAGCACCGTTTTTGTCAATAAAAAGTACAGTGAAAAATTGGGATACTCCTTGAAGATTCTGTTGCAATTTAATCTACTATAAAATTCTGTATGTTGTGGATTAGTCTGAAGGAGATGGTTAATAGAAGAAGGAATGCGCCCCACTTTACTCATATTTTTTCTATGATCTGAGGAATGTGTCAAGGGAGTAAAACATAAAAAATAGTCTATAGAGTTTAGCTCAAGAAAGATAACCTGGATTTTTAAATTAGTTTTTCTTCATTTTCATTGAGGTAAGAAACCTGTCATAAGAGTGTCATAATTTACTTGGGATAGTGTCCCTTTGAGTGATAGGTATAAAGGTTGTCTATATTCTAAGTGAAAGAGTATTGAGTTCAATTTCTCTCTTCAAATTGGATCGTCATCCAGCTGCCTGATGCAATAGAAGAAGGCTTCTGCTTTCAGTAGATGCTGAATGCATCTCTTTGATTTATCATAGCCCTAAAGGATTAAGCCCAGTTAAATTCGGTCACACTATTTTAATGAAGTAGAATAATGGGAATGCCAATATTTTATGGCTTACAATGTAATTATAAAGCTATTTAAAAATTAGTTTAGTAACCTTTCAAGAATCAAGATAAAATAATCTGTTGTTGTAATTTGGAGACTCTTAGATGTGGAGCCATCCTTAAAAATGAATTAATTCTTTTTAGTGTATTTAGGATACAAAGAAATAAAGTATGAGACCTATAGAAATTCCAGTACAAGATTTTATGACATATTGCTTCCATTTATTTCCTTCTAAGATGAAACCCCCTTAATAAGAGCTATATATTTAGTCAGATTTAAAAATGATGACTTTATAAAGGAGAAATTACTTTGTAATCATAAAATGATGATTCTAGTAGGAAATTCATTATAATAACTTACAGTGAGGATTATTTTAAGCTTCAGTGTGTGGCAAATTAAGTTTTTGTTTCCTTTACTTTTTGGTGCAAAAATATGTTACCATCTACTTAATGGTTAATCTAATTTTGAAATATAAAGAACATACAATTTTCAGAATTGTATTGTTTAATTTATAAATGTAACACGAGATTTTCTATCATGAATTATCAGACTTGAAGCAGAATGAATCATAACTGCATAATGATTATAAAAGTGCTGCTTAAGTGAGTCCTTTAAAATTATTGGTATATGTGTTTTTAGTACACCAGGTGGGAAGAATGGGATGATAATAATGACATGCTCCTCTGTAAATGAGTCCTTCAGTATCATTTATATGAGTGGTTTTAATGACTAATATTTAAATTGTGCATTGAGAGATAAAATAATGATTAGAGTAGTTTTTTTTTTTAAAATATTGTAGGCAGTTCCTTTCCTTTTTTAAAATTTCAAGTCACTGTTTACCCCAAATCTGTAGGTAGTGCAACATGCAGTCATTCCCCCTGCATCAAAGGCAAGCATATCGTATGAATTTTCTTTTAGAAATTCTTTTCTCAGAGAATTGCTACATCCTGGTATATTGGGAAAAAAATGGGGCAGTCTTCAGAAGAGGGTGGCATTCGTTGAGGAAATTAGGAGAAGCAGGTTTAGTTTCTGCCATGGTATTGTGTGTCTTTTGTTTGATGTGTCACGTCATGTCTTAGTGGCTTCTGTGTTAAAATCTGTAAAATGAAGGCATTAATCTAACTAATTTCTATGTGTTCTTTTTTGAGTTTAACATTTTATGATTTTAAAATTAATACTTGTTTACTCATGAATTCTTGAAGTCTCTGAAAAGTACATTTATATAGCCAAGTAGTGTACCACTTAAACAATTTTTAAGAAGAAATTGAGAAGCTTCATTAAGTCTCTGATGTTACTACGTCTAGCATATTGTGTGTTAAGTTTTGGTTTTTAACTGTTCCCACATTTATATAACATGGGAGTGTTGAGGACACCACTGTTTTAGGAAACTATATTTATAGGAATTTGAGGAATAGGTAAAGTTAGGAAAATTCAGAATTATATCATTTACAGGGCTATTATTAAGTAAAAGGTTTCATCAGGTGGACCCTTAATTTTAAGCCTTTAAACTGAGTAAGCTAGAATGTGTGAGATTATTAGAAAATAGCTGTAGAATTTAAAAGGAAGAGAGAATTGTTTGCCCTCATTGATGTGCAGAATAATGTAGTAACTCTGAGCTCAACCCACAGAATCTTAGGAAACTTTATACCTCCTAATGAGTATTCGTGTTGTGGAAGGAGGCAAAATAATGGGTTAACCTGAGCATAAAGGGATACATTTTCACCTTGCAAGTTTGTACTGGAGCCACATCAGCGCAAGTTCGGAAGTGAGTCTAAGTTTGAATCCCATCTTCAGCATTTACTAGTTGTGTGACTTGTCCAAGGTGCTTAATCTCTGCCTCAGTTTCTGCCTCTGTAAATAGAAATAATAGCAGTACCTATCTCACAGCTTATTGGTGAAGATGAAATTAATTAATTTTATGTGAAACACTTAGATGTATACTTGGCACATAGCCAGCGCTACAGAAATGTTTGGCAATAATTTTTATGGCATTAGATTTCTTTTTACTTCCTGTATATGTCTGGTATCATGTAAGATGCTATCACATATATTTTCTTATTTAATTAATCACACTTGTATATTGGGTTAGTGTATTCCTTATTGCATACATAAGCTGCATCAGCCGTAATGAATATGTATGTAAATTGAAGCAATATTAATCTTTGAATTGAACATTTATTTTTTTTCACACAGAGACTAAATGTAATGTTGGAGGAAATATCCAGATGATTCAGGTTGAAATTCACTTTTAAAGAAAGTACCGTTAAAATTCAAATGACCCATATGTTTAAAATAAAACTATTCCTCCACACTAGGTTATTATTTGTATTTCCATGAGATTTTAATCAGTCTTTGTCTTAAGGCCCTTGGTACTATTTTATATTTATACATTACCTTTCATTTTCAAGCAACCCAATTCCACTTTGGTTATTAGTAAGTTTAATACCACTTTTGCAAATACAGTGAAACTTCTGACAATTGTATTACTAAAAACTGATTAGAAGATGTAGCCATCCTTTTGTTTTGAATTCCTTTTCTTCTGAAGGTTTGCCAGTTCAAGGAACAGGGTCATCATCCTCATTCTTCCCTTTTCCTTTCATAATTTCCTTGAGAGATTTTGTTTACTCTTATGGCTTCAAATACTACATATGGGCTGATAATTTACAGATACTGTTTTACTAGCCGGATTATTTTTGAGCCTCCAGATCAACCTATATAGCTGCCTACCGAAAATCTCTGCTAACAGACACCTCAGTTTCATTCTCCCCAAATCATTGTCCTCTCCTTCTCCCAGTTCCCTAAGCCAGATTCTGGAAGTACTTCTCCACTTCTCCTCAGTCAACGCTTAAGGAGCCTTACTTCTCAGTATCTTCTGATCACTTCTCTCCATTCCTCTTGGTCTTACCATATAGTTCATACCACTCTGATATTTGTCTGTTACCCCAAATATTGTAACAATTCCTAGTTGTTCTCTCTGCTTCCAGACTCGTCTCCTTCCAATTAGTTTGCACATTGTAGCATGGTGAACAGTCAGTAAATGGTAGCTAATCAGCCTTATTTACAAATCATATTGTAGGTTTTATGCTTATTTTTCTATTGAAAGATGATAAAGGTTGTGATGGCAGTATTATTTCATGTATATATTATAGTTAAGTTTTTCACGTATATGTTATAGCTAAAATTAAACTAGTTTTAATCTGTTAAAAGGAATTAACTATTAGCAAATTTATTAGTTATAACTTCAGTTTAAAAAAAATTCTGCCATGTGAGTTATTTTTATCCAAGTGGTATGCTTCTGAGATTTTGTCAGGTATAAATATATAGTTAATAAAGATTTTAGTTCCAACATATCATTTATAATCTAGTTATTCCAGCTATATATTCCAAACATGCCAGTGTTCTTTGTGCTTTTGTGCTTTTTGCATATGCCATATTCTTTGCATAAAATGTTCTCCCTCACTGGTCTTGGTAACAGTCTCTTCATTCTTCTTTTTATTTTCTATTTAAACATTTACTTTCTTACGTACTTATTTATTTATTTAATTTAGAGGGAGGGAAGAACGGAGGGAGAGACTTGCTGTTCCACTCATTCATTGGTTGCTTCTTGTAAGTGTCCTCACTTGAGATCGAACCCACAGGCTTGGTGCATCTGGACGACACTTTAGCCAATGAAGCTACCCGGCCAGGGCCTCATTAAAGCCCTGCTTATATCTTAAAAACTTTCTCTTCATCCTTTCCCCAAGTTCTGGTATGTCCTCTTTTATTTGGGTTTCTAGAATGCTTTGTTATTTCCTCGCTTTCCGAATATCTCTTTGTTCTGCAATGATTATTTCTAATTGCATTTAGTTCCTTGAGGGCAGAAACCATCCTACTCATTTTTTACACCTGAGATTTCTAATGTAGAGCCTGATCCACATACAATGGACGCTCTGAAAATGATTTTTGTTGGACTACATTGTTGTCAATAGATTGATGTCCTTGACTGTGTGTAATAGTTAGTCTATGATCTTTAGGTCCAGCATTTGTAACAAAGCATCCAATCATGTAAAGAATGCAGCCCTAGCTCTTCTATGCCAGTGTCCTATAGAAGACATAGAGATGTATGCCCGACATTGTGTTGAGGGTTTTCATGCTATTTTATTTAATTCTCATAAGCCCTATAAAGGTTTGCATATAAGGAAGTATAGGCTTAGAGAGCTTAAGGAAATTGCACAAGATATACAGCTAGGAGTGTTGTTTAAAAGGCGGAACTTTAAGATAGGTCTTTTTAATTGCAAAGTTTTTACTCTTAGTCACAAGTATTATACTGCCACCCATATTGTAGAGAAAGTGAACCTCAAAACACATGATTTTGACTTTTAACTCATATGTTTTTGTGATATATCAGGTCATTATTATTACATCATCACTTTTACTATAGTATTGTTATATTTAAACTAGAGGCTCAATGCACGAAATTCGAGCAAAAGGCTCGGCCCTCGCAGCCCTGGCTTCATCCGGAAGGCCGTTCCACTGTTTGGCCGTCTGGCTGTCTGGTCTGATTAGTATATTATGCTTTTATTATTATAGATAGAGGGAAATGCAATAATTGAGTTTAATTTTATTATGTCTAAAATGTTCTTTTGACCAAATCCTGTGTCTTATTTTATTTTCCACATTTATAATATTTATTTTCCTCATTTATAATTTTGGGAAACTATGACTCAAAATTACCAATTTTAATCAGTAACATATTATCTTTAGTGGCTTTATATATTTGTTCTTTTTGTTCTAAAGCTAGGAGACTCCTAAATTAATGGGACAGAGATGACTTTTAGAAACATTATGCATAGTTTGCACAAAAATACACTTTGTCTACTACTTTTGCTAATATGTGACGAAATTAAAGGTAAACAGTGATGTAGTTTTACATGGTTTTGTACATAAAGTCTTTTACCTTAACATGTTTTAGTTTCTCTTTGAGTTAATTGAATATTTATTTAGGATTTCATTTGTGGAAAGAGCATTCTCCTTTTTCAGATGTTTGGGTATTTAATTGCTTTTATAGAAATTATTCTCATTTATATGTCTTAATACATTCTAGTATATAGTGTGCTCTTAAGTTTTTTCTCTTAAAAAGTTTAGATTTTAGTAAACATTTAATTAGACTTTTTTAGAATTTTTATTTCACTAACAAACTTTAAAAAACTCTTATTTGTTTTAAGAATGGAATTAATTATTTCTTTTTGTTTTGTCTTTTCTGTCTTTTCTAACTTGCTTTCGTGGATATTCACACCAGGAGGACAAAGTGGTTAGAGTCTTTTTTCTGTCTAATATTATTTTTTTCTTACTGTTATTGCTAATTTTAATTTTATAGCTATATTTAATTTATATACTTTTAAGTTGTAGTGCATGATAATCACTATACAATAAGATATTTTAAGCATGCTATCTAATTTTACTGAAAAACAGTTCATTATGTTACAGATAAAAAGTGGATTATTTGATTCTTAAAGAGGCCTGCTTCTTTAGAATTTAGTATTTTAGAGATCTTATGCACTTTTCATTGTGTTAAGAATTCTTTTAATCTTATATTTTCCTAAAGTCATCATTGTACTGGTCAGTTTTTAAAAGAAGCTAGTATAAAAATTCAGTATTTGTAATAATGAATGAGTCACAATAACATTGAAGATGGATTTTTCTGAAGTATCTATATACAGTTGAGTATAAGCATTTAATATATTTTTCTTTTTCTTAATGTGTTATAGAAATTGGTAAGATGTCCAATATTATCTAATTATCTAATACTTAATATGATCCTCATATTAAGTATTAGATAATTATAATTTTAAAATACTTAGGTTTAGAGGATTCAACTCCAGCCTAGGTTTTAAAATTCTGCCCATATTTGTCCTTAGAGGTCTGATTTGGATTTGCTCTAGGGACTGGTGACTTCCTGCAAACACAGATAAAAATCTTTCTGTTCTGATTCTTAAAAAAAAAAAGTTCAGCTTTTTCTTCTTTACATTTTTATAGATTTCCTTGGTGTATATTATAGTATTTCATAATAAACGTGAGATATTGATTACAGCAGTGAGTAGGAGGGCTGCAGACGGTTCTGAGAAAAAAATTGCAGGGGTTATTCTTTTCTTTTTAAAAAAATTCTGACTCTTTCTGATGAATCAAACTAAACTTGAGGTCTAAAAGTTTTGCCAAATTCAAATTGGCGTAACACCCAAAGAGGACACCATTTAGCTGAGGTCTTCTGAACAGTGTGACTCCTTTTTTTTTTTTTTTAATCAATTGGAACATTTTTATTCTCCTCAGTCTTCAGTTACTAGGTTGAGGATAAGGTAGGTGGTGGCAAATATTGATGTGGTTTTAGAATGAAGTCGCTGAGCAAAAGATCTTCAGGATTGCTTGGTTAGTTTTGTTAGAATTCCTACAGGTGAAAAAAATCAATCAAAATTTTGAGGCAGTTTTGAAGGTTAATTGCTGTAGACATGTCCCAGACTGTGCATCCTCCTCAATCAAGGGCAGATGCTCTAGAGCAGGGGTGGGCAAACTTTTTGACTCGAGGGCCACAATGGGTTCTTAAACTGGACCGGAGGGCCGGAACAAAAGCATGGATGGAGTGTTTGTGTGAACTAATATAAATTCAAAGTAAACATCATTACATAAAAGGGTATGGTCTTTTTTTTTTTTTAGTTTTATTCATTTCAAACGGGCCGGATCCGGCTCGCGGGCCGTAGTTTGCCCACGGCTGCTCTAGAGCAGTGGTCGCCAACCTTTCGGACCTCATGGACCACCAGTGGTCTGCAGACCACCAGTTGGCGACCGCTGCTCTAGAGCACCTACCAACCTTCTGCTGGCCAACTTTACAAGCTAACTCTAAAGTAGTGCCATTCACGTAATTCAAAGCCTTTTTTTTTTTTCAGTCTACTTATATTTATTTCTCTTTTGTTTCTATAGCTACTTCTGTGTCTGTAGTTTTTATAATGAATTCTGACACCTATCCCAGATACTAGGTACTCAATAATATTTCAGCTATGATTTTCATTTACTGACAAGATTTTGTCATGTAACAGTCTATATTTTATACCAAGCATTGACGAACATGAAATAATGCTAATTTTATGTGGATTTGGAACGTTGTAAATAAAATTCCATAGGTCTTTTTATGACACTCTTTATGCAGTACTGTTCAATAGAACTTTCCATAGTGATGAAAATGTTTTATGTCTTGCCCTAGTCGGTTTGGCTCAGTGGATAGAGCATCAGCCTGTGGACTGAAGGGTCCCAGGTTCAATTCTGGTCAAGAGCACATGCCCAGGTTTTGGGCTTGATCCTGGGAGGGGGGGGCAGTGTGCAGGAGGCAGCAGATCATTGATTCTCTCTCATCATTGATGTTTCTATCTCTCTCTCCCCCTTCCTCTCTGAAATCAATAAAAATATATTTAAAAAGATGTTTTATATCTTCACCATCTAATACAGTAGGCTCCATCAGTCTCATGAATCTATTGAGCACTTGAAATGCGTCTAGTGTGGAGAGGAATCGAATTTTTAATTTTATTTAATTTTAATTAATTTTAATTTAAATAGCCCTCTGTGGCTATTGGCAAATGAAACCCCAAGCCTGGATAACAAACATTCTATCTATGACTATTCAACCCCTAAGGCAACACCCTGCACTCATATTAGCAGAATGATGTGCATACTAGGAGTGGAAATGAAACCTGTACAGAATGCAAGAAAGATACATCTGCCAATGTCATTGTCTTATATAGCCAGGGAGGATATGGCCCAGGGACATCTGTCCAAAGGGAAGAATCGGGGAATATGAATGACAACAACCAGAGGAGAGCCTCCTAAGTAGCTGAATCTGAGACTGACAGGATAGCCAAGGAAATGAAGCCATTGTTCATGTAGGGGTTACTGTGTGCCATGGACTGTTGCCCACTATATACTTCTCCTTCTTCCTGTTTCTGAATGAGAGTTTTTGTTGCAGTTCCCTCTTGTTTCTCCATATTGTGTTTTGGGTGTGTTAGGAACAGATAATTTGTCTTTCAGTGCATTGGATCACGAAGATACACACTCAACCATGATGGAAGGATTTGCTCTACCTCAGAGGTCCTGGATTCAGAGCTAGATTTTATAACTAGACTAGAAGCCTGGTGCACGAATTTGTGCACAGGTGGAGTCCCTTGGCCTGGCTGGCAATAGGAGGTTGGCCAGCCAGCGGGAGGTTGGCTGTGGGAGCGCACTGACCACCAGGGGGCAGCTCCTGCGTTGAGTGCTTGCCCCCCTGGTGGTCATTGCGCATCATAACGACCTGCCGGTTGGTGGTAACGGTTGCTTAGGCTTTCATATATATAGATGAGACTTTGGGATTATCTCCCTTTGGGAAGGGGTGACTGTGTTACATGTAAAATATATGTACAGAATGTTGAGTAGTTGAATGAGGAAACTGTTCTAGATCCTGCTGAATGGCTGTCTTAACAGACATTTTCTACTTCTCATAATTTCCAATAGAGGGACTTGAAAAATGTGAAATTTTTACCTTTCTTTGCAATTGGAAATGGCTTTGTGACAGAGTACTAGCTAATGAGAGATGGAGGAAATTCATAAGGGCTTCTTGGAAGTTATGATAAAAAAGAAAGATGTAGCTGGAACTACCTTTTTTTTAAAAAATAATTTTTTATTGATTTTTAGAGAGAGAGGAAGGGAGAGTGGGAGAGAGAAACATCTATGTGAGAGTGAAACCTTGATCGCCTACCTCCTGCATGTTACCCCACTGGGGATCGAGCCAGCAACCTGGGCATGTGCCCTGACCGGGAATTGAACTGGCAACCTTTCTGTGCATGGGACATTGCCCAGCCAACTGAGCCACACCGTCCAGGGCTGGAACTACCTTTTAATGCAAAAGTGTTGTCTTGCGCTTCAGAGGCCATTTGTGAAGATGAGGGAAAAGCCAGGAGTATTTGAGTCATTAGTCATGACATTGTTGAGCCACTGATCCAACACCATGCAATACCTTTCCCCAATGTGAAAAAAAATACCCAACCCAATCCGTTTCTGCCTCCAGTAGTCAGATTTTCCATTACTTATAGTCAAAAGCATGCTTAATGGAAACATTGGTGGATTTGCAGTGCGCGCCAGGGAAACCAGACAGACATCTAGAGTTGTTCTTTACAAATACAGACGTGGAGTAAAGGTGTGCATGTTGTTCATTTCTTTGATACTCAGCTGTATGTGATGTTTGAAGTATTAGGGTCAATTATCACATCTGCTCACATATTACACATAAATTAACTCCGGTTGCAAACAGTAGATTAATATGGGTATGTTGGACTTTTTAGGATGCGTGGAACAAATAAGTGAACTAAACTTCCATGCCAAATTATTTGCCATAGGTTAGAACATGTAGCTGGCTGTTTTTCTTTTAGTAAATACTGACTTACTCTGTCTGGTGAGAGCATAATGAAATAACAGTTTTGGGAACAAAATGATGCTCATTTCATTGTCTAGAGACAATATTATCTGTTTATAAAAAGACCACTTTAATGAGGATCTTAAATTATTCCTTTTTCTCTTTTTACAACAATTATTAGTTCTCTTACCCAGTATCTCTTGAGACAATAATAAATAAAAATTTCACTCATTGTTGGCAGGTTATTAACTTTATTGTAAAAAAAAATAATGTTACTAATGGTAATGTTGGTGAAGTAAAAGGTGTGGAAGGATGATGAATGTCCTGCAGTATTTCTCACGTTTTAGAAGCATAAAGGCGACCTGTTGGGTTGCAGCTGCAGCGATGATATTCAGAGCAAGGTGCTCTTTGTTTCCACTGCAGTCTGATGCTTTTCCTGATTTAAGCACATTATCCAGCTTCCATAATCCTGGCCTATGTTCCTGCCTATTGCTATTCTCATATAGTGTTGCAATTTAGCATATACTTAAAAGAGTTTTTTGTTGTAGTATCTTTGGTTGTTCCATTTCATCTAGGCAGTAGCTGCATTTTTTTAAATACTGTCTAAACAATACTAGAGTATTCGCTTTTGCATTTTTATTCAATCACATATTAACATGTATATGGCCTTAATAAAATTGTCCTAGAAACGGAATATAACAGCTCTGTCAGGGCCAACTCCTATCATAAAATCACAAGTTTAACTACTTCTACTGTTCTGTTTCTTTTATTGTAAGCCTAATTGAATGCAATAGACATCCTTTGATATTACTAAATTTTCCCTGCCCTCAACCCAACATGAGCAGGTGAAATAATAACAAAACATAAAGTGAGTTAATTAC